GGACTACACTGGAAAACAGGCCAAGCTCCCATGTCAGAGGATGAAGAGAGCACATCCAGTTAGTCACAGTCAGAGAAACAGGACTACACTGGAAAACAGGCCAAGCTCCCATGTCAGAGGATGAAGAGAGCACATCCAGTTAGTCACAGTCAGAGAAACAGGACTACACTGGAAAACAGGCCAAGCTCCCATGTCAGAGGATGGAGAGAGCACAGGTTTAATCTGCATTTATTAGCTGGTTTTTAATGGTAGCTCCAAATATTGTGGTGATGAACCTTTTTAGTATTTAATCAGGTGAGATAAGAACAATAATAATAATAATAATAATAATAATAATAATAATAATAATAATAATAATAATAATAATAATATGTATGATGAGACTTAGATTGTTTTGTGTCTGTTTAGATTATTGTTAGATTGATAGAAGAGGAGAGGAAGCAGATTAGAAGACTGATGGAAAGTTAAACAGAGCAGGAAGGAGTCAGTCAGGGGCCCCAGCAGGAATATGGGGCCCCAGCAGGAATATGGGGCCCCAGCAGGAACATGGGGCCCCAGCAGGAACATGGGGCCCCAGCAGGAATATGGGGCCCCAGCAGGAATATGGAGCCCCAGCAGGAACATGGGGCCCCAGCAGGAACATGGGGCCCCAGCAGGAACATGGGGCCCAGCAGGAACATGGGGCCCCAGCAGGAATATGGGGCCCCAGCAGGAACATGGGGCCCCAGCAGGAACATGGGGCCCCAGCAGGAACATGGGGCCCCAGCAGGAACATGGGGCCCAGCAGGAATATGGGGCCCCAGCAGGAATATGGGGCCCCATGAAACTCTATAGAGGAGCCAGTGCTGTAGAGATGCAGTGAAGAGAAGCATTTCCATTGTGATGTAGCGTTTATTCTAATATTTCTAGAAATGAAAATGATCAGAACGTGAAAAAGGAAAATAGAAATTAACTTTAAACTTTTATCAATATAATAACAGCTTATTTAAAACTAAAATCCCAGCTGTATCTATGAACACAGGAATAGAAAACAGGTTTAGGAGTGAAAATATATTCCCATTAGGTTTAACTTTAACCTCTTTAAAGGACAGATTATCTTTATGCTGAGAGTTCATAGTTCATTAATCTGGACGTCTAATGAAAATAAAACATGTTTTCTTTCTGTGGCTGCTTCAGGCTCCTCATCAGAACATCCAGATTTATAGATGTTTGTTAATGGCTGCAATTTAATCTGAATATAAAAATCTAAACAGTTTAATATTGACACAGATTATAATCCAGGCTGCTGGAGGCGACTCCATGATAAACACAGTAGAAACAACTGGAAGCCGTTTCATTTTATCATTACCTTTTGAATTACGATGCAAACTGGTCTGTTCCTGAAAACAATCTAATGAAGACAGAGACGGAATAACAGATGATAAACACATTTCATTGGTTCATTTGATTTATATAAAGAAAGACGACTGGGTTTTACTCTTGATTTTTTAGAGTTTAAATATTAATAGAAATGTAAAAATGGATGAAAGCGTCACTGTTTCCTATTTTAATTTGGATGAAATGTTTTTATTTTCATCCAGAAGGTGCAAATGTCTCCAGATTAGATTACAGGAATCTGTTCTCCTTAGATTAGGGAGCAGGAGTTAGCTCAGCATGCTAACCTTAGCTCAGCATGCTAACCTTAGCTCAGCATGCTAACCTTNGTGCTTCTTTCTGACTTTGATCCTTTGATCTGTTGATCAAACATCAATGACTTTGATCTTTCCTGCTAATTAATTAGTGATTAGTAATTAGTGCTGATGAACCTCGGCCTTCCAGGGCTGCAGTAGATGTGGACCAGCCTGTGGGAACGGTTCTGGAAGCGGTTCTGGTGGACCGTCCGCACAGGAATGATTTGGGTTTTGTCTGTCAGGGTTCTGGTATCTTAGGAACCGGGTCGGACCGAAGCAGCGGCCTGGTGACGTCACG